AGTGTTTTCTCTGGGCTGCGGTACCTCTTGTGCAGGGATTGTCTCGAAAGTTCCGTGTTTTTTTTAAATTTGTTTTTTTTAAATGTTTTTCTTGCTAATTCTCCACTAGACAACCGGGCAACATGAGGAGTAAATAGACTAGCCCGGAGCGGTTTTTACTAGACATTGTACGCCGGGCTAGTACTAAATCGAGCCCTGATATGTCTTCCCAGGCATTTAAAACACAACCTTTTATCACTAGCAATTTTCCATCGTTCATTTATATCTAGACTCCTAAACTGTGCACATTCCCATAACTTATGCGTTTCACTAAGTACAGTTTGGGCATCGTTCATCATACGTTTTATTTGTGAAAAATGACTTTGTTTGTTTTGTCATCCTTTCTCGTGGGGTGTGGTCTTTTATAGCCCTTCCAAATAAATTGTTAGATGCAGCTGCTTCATTTTCCAGAAATTTTATTAGTTCCCTGAAGCTTGGTTCTCGTTTTCCATTAATTATCTCTTGTGCCTTATTAGCCCATCTCCTCTGATTATGTTGCGGCAGTAGGTGTTGTATTTTCAAGAGATTCTCTGGGTTATTCAGATTGGTTTCATATTTCATTTGAGTCATGGTAATTTCACACTTTTTCATCATAGAAATTAACCTCCACATACTCTCAGGATCCGATGTTGTAACCCGGCAATTTAGCATTTCATTCATCATTGCATGCAGTATAATGTGCGAGTGTCCAAACTGTTTCTCTAAAATATCCCTTGCGACTGCGTAGCCATCGTCACCTAGCAACACACAACACTCAATGCTACGCTTAGCTTTTCCTTTTGTCAACTGTACCAAGTAACTTAATCTGGCCGCATTATTACTGAGCTTTTTTGCTACATTCACATCAAAATTTTTCATAAAGGACCAAAATGTTGTAGGGTTCCCTTCGTACGGAGTTATTTCTGCCTTCGGTAACTCTACCGCTAACTTAAATTCTTCTAATTTTGGTGTTGTTGAAGCAGATGAACTTACATTTTGTTCTGGCG